CCTGTGGAACTCACTCCCTGGGGAAATTAGACCATCAACATCCCTCCTCTCCTTCAGGAGGAAGGTAAAGACGTGGTTGTGGGGCCAATCTGACAACTAGATAAGGACAACCAGACGACTAGGACTGACAGGACTGACAATTGTGCAATTGGAATTTGAACTATGAGATAGTGAACGCTGACCGTCAATGAGGAGTAATTGGGTTTGTATTGGTTTTATTGGTTTTATGGTTGTAATGCAAGAATTCTTGTTTACTGTTAATTGATGTTATTTTGTCTTATTGATGTTATGTGATGCGGGCATCGAATTGTGCCTTGTTTTTGTAAGCCGCCTTGAGTCCCCTTTGGGGTGAGAAGGGCGGGGTAGAAGTAACCGAAATAAATAATAAATAAATTGAGTTACATGCTCCGTGTGAGATTGACACAGTGCGTTGTGATCTGGCTCAATGATTTCTTGGCTCTTCTCAGTGTATTTTTTTTTCACTGTAGGTAATAGAACAGAAAGGCAAATCAGAGACAATGTTACATACCAGGATAATGGAGACTCTGGAGGACTTCGAAGCAGCTCAGAGAAGAAAGGTATTTGGAAATAGAAGGGCAAAAGTGTAGGGAAAGCTCTCTGGATACAATTGCCTGGAAGCTTCTGCAACTTACCCAAGGTCCAGTTCCAGGAGATGGTTCCAGTAGAATTGGGGAAAGAGTGACATGCAAGCAGGGGCGGCGCGTCCATTACGCAAAGTAAGCGGTTGCGGTACACTTTTTTTTGCCAGGGGCGCAAAGGCGCCTCTGTAAATGCCCCTCCACCGCCACTTGAGGAGCGCCCCCTAGGGCCGCCTCTGCATGTAAGTCAGAGACCATATAAGGTGGAGTTTGGACCATATAGGATGGAGTTTGATCAATATAACTTGAGATTTGAATCATATAATATGGAATTTGGACCATATTAGATGGTGCTTGAACCATATTAGATGGAGTTTGGATCATATAAGATGGAGTTTGAGCTATCTAAGGTGGTTTGAACCATATGATGGAGTTTGAACTATCTAAGGTGGCATTTGAACCATGTAAGATGGAGTTTCAATCAAATAAGATGGCGTTTGGACCATATAAGATGGAGTTTGATCCATATAACACGAGTTTGACACATATAATATGGAATTTGGACCATATTAGATGGAGTTTGGACCATATAAGATGGAGTTTGACCTATTTAAGGTGGAGCTTGAAACATATTATGGAGTTTGAACTATCTAAGGTGGCATTTGAACCATATAAGATGGAGTTTGTTCCATATGAGATGGAGTTTGAACCCTACTTGATGGAGTCTGAAACATATAGGATGGAGTTTGATCAATATAACATGAGATTGGACTCAATATGGGATTTGGACCATATTAGATGGTGCTTGCAGCATATTAGATGGAGTTTGGACCATATAAGATGGAGTTTGAACTATTTAAGGTGGAGCTTGAAACATATTATGGAGTTTGAACTATCTAAGGTGGCATTTGAAACGTATAAGATGGAGTTTGTTCCATATGAGATGGAGTTTGAACCCTACTTGATGGAGTCTGAAACATATAGGATG